TTGCTAAGGAAATGAAAATGAGCAAAAATGCTTTTGTTGTCATTTTCTATAGCTAAAACTTCCAGGGTCTCAGGACAACGGAAGGTAATTAGTTCTCTATTGGTCTTTCTTAGCTTTCAGCCAGTGATATTTATGATGCATGTGTGAGCACATTTTTAACTTGGCACATGTCTGTTCCACTTTGGGGAGGAACTAATTTGTTGGGATTAGCTCACATTACTGTTCACTGTGCCTTTAAAAAAGGGGTGCGGTGAGTAAGGGGTGGAGAGGGTCAAGTTGAAATTGTCATTAAAAAAAATAAATGTAGGACAAATAAGGGCAAGCAATATAAGTAATAAGACTTATTTAGAAAGGTTCCTAGGTCAGTGCCCAGAAGGACAGAGGAAAGAATAAAAGGCAGTGGCATCGGTCTAATATTTAAGTGTTAATGATGGTGGCATGAGATGGCATTTGTGTTCAGGAAGTGAAGGGGAAAAGACACGAGACAGAGTTCTCATTACCTGAGGAAGTAGGACATGTACGTGTACGGGCAGTTGACAGCACCGAATCCCGAAAGAAGAGCCATGAGAGTCACACCGATCACACCCACCCGGCTGATGAGCTGCTCTATGGACAGGATCCCTGAAAACATGCAAGCACGTTAATGCCAGGTGACAGCGAGGGCTTCCACCTGCAGTGGACACATCACTGAACATGGCAACCGTCACACAGAACTAACCAACAGAGGCCAGATGCTGTTACTATCAGACAATCTATGATAAATACATGTCTACTGATTTTCCTCTTATCTCATATGCTTCCAGAATCATCTCTATTATTGGGTAATGGTAATAATAAAATAAGATTAGCAACAATAATTGTAAATAATACTATTGACTGTTTACTCAAGGTAGTATGAACTCTAACAACACAAAGTGCTTTCAGTAAAAGTCTTGGCAAATTAAAAAAAAAAAAAGGAAACTGCCCGGCTGGTGTGGCTCAGTGGTTGAGTATCAACCTATGAACCAGGAGGTCATGGTTTGATTCCCAGTCAGGGCTCATGCCAGGATTGCAGACTAGATCCCCAGTGTGAGGCGTGCAGGAGGCAGCCGATCAATGAGTCTTTCTCATCATTGATGTTTCCATCTCTCCCTCCCTTCCTCTCTGAAATCAATAAAAATATATTAAAAACAAACAAACGAACAAACAAAAAACAGAAACAAAACAACAACAATGAGTAAGTGTGCTGGAAGAGTACAGATAGGAGGCAGCACTTTCTGTCTCCCAGCGTCATCTATGGCATCTATAGCCACCTGCGATACATATACTTCCCTCTTAGGCCATAAGCTCTTTAGCTAGCTTATCTGTTATTCATTTTTACCACCAATAAACACATAATGCATCTAAAAATGGGCTGAATTTAAGGATGAATAAGTAACACAAAGGCAAAGACATGAATTTCAGATAATGGACTGTATTCTAGTTATCAATTACTTCCTTATTTGACAATGCTGAAATCAACTCAGTAGTTAAAATAAATGCTGCTGCTGATGTATTTGGGATAAATGAGAGAAAGCAATGTTGAAGAATAACTCAGAACATCTGGTTTCACAGGAAAAAAAAATAGTTTTCATTTGTTTTTCACTTTCTATTTCCAGGATAGAATCCACTTCAACCGTTTACTTCTACGGCCAAACGTTAGAGCTGCTATTCAGAAATTCGCTTAGCTTTGAAACAAATTCCAGTATTTGAGTCCCTTGTTCATTGTTTCCATGGCACCACCTGAGAACTCTTCGGGAAGTCCCTGTCTTCCCTTTCCTTCCTCCCCGAGCTGGGCTCCAGGCTTCCTTGCTTCCACTCCTCCCCAGGACTCAGTCCCCTCCTCTCCTGAAGCTGGTCCCGAACGCCCAGCCCTAAACCAGCCCAACACCCTGCCTCCCGGTGCCGCCCTGAGCTGCCTGAGGCTGCTGGAAAGCACACTGATACTGGGGCCAGGACAGACTTAGGGCCTCTCTTGCCCTTGGTCAGCCATCTCTTCCCACTCCCTCAGCAGACACTGATCCATTTTCCAACCCTGTTCTCCAGAGCCAATGCCCGTATTACATAAGCAATGAGCTATCAGGCATGCACTGCCTCTACTATAAATATTTACATCTGCAATCATCCCCCCAAAGTGCCCCCTCAGGACAACGCGGTGTTTAAAGCTGACTTCTCTACGTGTGCTTTCGTTCTTCCCTTTCCAGCCTCCCCAGGCTCTGGTTCCATTGCTTGTCTTCTCTCTGGGATCCCTTGCTGCTTCTTTCCTTTTGGTTTCAAATCTCTTTCCTAAGAATAATCTGTCCGTGGTCTTGAGTTTCCCTCTAGTCACCAACCTTCTCTCCTTCCCCCGTAAGAGCCAAGCTTCTTGAGAGACGTTTACACTCCCTGTCACCTCCATTCATTACTCCACTGGCTGCCATCCAGCTCCGTCCGAATCTTCCACACTGAGTGAACCGCTTTCACTGGTAACAGTGATGGCAATGTAACAGGTCACATTCGTGTGGCACCTGTTATATACCTGGTACTGCTCTAAGCATTCCACTTGTATTAGTCCACTTACTCCTCCCAACAACCCGGAAGTAGATGTTACTGAAACCCTCACCTTGTGAGGGGATGGAGGAGAAAGGGGCTACATAACTCAGTGGCGGTCACACAGCAGCTGTGGCAGAGGACGGGCTCAAACCCAAGATGCTTAGTTCCAGAGCCCGGGCTCTTCCCATTCCTGTAATATGGTCATCAGTTTTCTTCTGGCTGCAAAATTCAATTACATTTTCCAATCCTTGTTTGATCTGATCTTCTATGATATGGAATTGTTCCTATTGAACATTAGTTTCCTTTCTTGGCTTTCACATGACCATTCCCCTCAGTTTTCCCTTTTATTTCTCTAGCTGCCTCCGCCCCCCGCCCCACTTTTTGGGCCTTTTGCTCTGCAAAAGGACCAGAATTCTCTTTCACTTCAGTCTATACATCTTCCGTGGGTGATCTCGCCCGTTTGCCCAGCTTCCTCTAAGGGCAGTTAGCTGAGGGTGTCTAATTTTCTAGATTCCCGGAGTTAGCTCCATGAGGATGGATGAATCCATGTCTTTCTCCTAAGCTCCTGACTCTGTGTCCACTGCCTACTGAACATCACTTGGATGTGCACAGGTAACTCAAATTCAACATATCCCAAGCTCCGGTTCACTGCCTTCTTCTGATGACCTATCTCAGAAAATGACACCATCAGTTCTCTAGTCACCACCGTTAACAATCTGTGCCCTGCTCTCATTCTGTCTCTCATTCCTCCTGGAACACACCTTGAAGCTTTACATGAAATCTCTTGTGCTTTCTCGCTGGGCCAACCTTTGGTCTTGCCCTTTAGATGTCAGTTTAAATATAGAAAGACTGACTCTAACACTTGCATTAAAGCTGGTATCCTTCTCTTCACTCTTCTCTCTCAGAGCTGCTTGTCTGCTCCTTGGTGACAATGATCACAATGGGCAAGTATCTGTTTATATATTTATCTCTTTAATGTTTAGTCCCTCCGGCCAGATTAGAAGTTTCAAGAAGGCAGAGGTCAAGTTTGTTTTGTTCATGGTTGTATCTCCAGCATAGAATATAAACTGGGCACTCAGTAAATAGCTATGGAATATTGAATGAATGAACAAATCCTCACCCAAATTCTGTCACTTCTACTTTCGGTATACCCCTTGAGTTTGTATCTTCTTTACAGAAGAGTCATGTCTGACTGATATTTGTTAAATACCTTCTATGTGCCAGGCAGCCAGGAAAACAAAGATTTGTTGACTCTGGGTACGTAGTTATCACCCAGTAACATGAAAAATATCCAAGGGATTAATACAGGTTATTAAATATAAGGAATTGGAAAAATGTCTCCTTTACTTTTATCTTGTTTAAGGTGACGTCCCTTTCTTGAATATCTTTTCTGGTTTAAAGTACTTTGTAGATACTATCTCCTTATATCAGCATTTCTATGAAGTAAAGGACCGTCATCATCTTTCCTGTTTTCCAGCTAATAAATGGCGAGTCAGACCGATGAGGCAACTTGCAGACCATTCACCGTCACAGCTGCCCACACAGATGCTTTCTTGCTTCACATGCTCTCAGTCTCTTCCTCTTTTCTATGGAGAGTCCAACCTCTCCAGAGCCAGGCTCTGCTTAGAGTACTTTGCAGACATGTTTTCATGTAGCTCTGACAGCTTTAGGGAGATTTCCACAGCCATAAACGGGACTGGCCGTCGCACAGTCCTGGGAAAGCTCCAAGCAGTGCAGGGCTGGCTGCTCCCCAGCCACTGCCTAAACTTTCCTCCCAACTTCCTTCTCTTCAGGCCAAATAAATTAGACACCTGGACATTGGGACAGAAAATCAAAATGCCTACTTACTGGAGCACAAAGGTACGACTAAAGGGAAACGATCTCCCTAGGTCTTCCTCTCAGTGTTCTTCAGGATATTCCCAGAGAGTTTAGAAAAAGGGATAGATTCAGGCCCAAAAGGTATGATGGTCTGCTCTTCCCTTGGAGCAAGCTCTGGCTGCTCACAGGGAAAAGCTGGAGAATGGTGTCCTTCCGTCAGTTTTGGACTGAATGTGACCTTGTGCTATCATGTCAGCAGCCCTGGGGTCCTTTAATAGCTCTTGTCCCTCATGTCTAATATCACAAACAAATCTGAAACAATTTGCCTCTCTGTCGGTTATTTGATATAGTTTATATGAGAGCTGTCTTATCAGGGTCTCCCTTCTCCATCTTTACCTACACTGACATGGGCACCTTACCATATTATCACACCCAAATCCCTATCCAGAGAGTTAGTTACTTTCCTGATACAAAGATAAATAAGATGTAGTTTCTGGCCTCAGGGAACTCACAGGTGAATGAGGAAGTCAGAAAACAAGTAATTATAAATTTAAAGGTGATATAAGTACATTGAGATGGGAGCAATTAATATTCCCTAAGGAAGGCCAAGAAAATCTTCTTAAAGGAACTGATGAGAGTTGACTATTGAGAGAATAAATCGGCATTTCCCAGGCAGACGGGGGGAGGGGTTGTCAGGCTGACAGAGCAGCTCCAGAAACTTCAGTAGTTTGAGAGGCCTGGAGGGCAGACACAGAGACGGTCAGGCCACGGAGCGTCTTGCATGCCATGTTGAGTCTGAATGTTTTTGGTAGGCTGGTGTTTCTTAACTGTTTGGCCTTCTTTAATGTTATTTAACATTTCAAAATAGTTAGTTTATAAAATATACAGTTGTTTATGGTGTTGCACATGCTTTAAAATCTGTACATTTCCTCTGTTCTTCCTGCAGGAGCGTCTCATAACCTCTCTTCCAAATCCCTGGCACAGGAAACGAGGCGACACGGAAGGATGCATGGGGGAGGCAGATGCTAGGCCTGGCTCATTCACGATGCTAACCCTTCCTAGCTGCTTCCTTACGCTACAGAACCTGGAGGAAAGCCCAAGGTTCTTCCTAGATTTCCTCGAAGGCAAGGGTCTGAATGTTTCCGAGGCCGCATCAAATTCACCTGCCATGTGAAACCTCAAATGCATTCGTAACTATGTAGGAATAACAGCGCTTGGGGGCTGGAGCAGCTGGGACACAGGTTCTATTGTCTGGTCCCTGATCACAGTCCTAAGTGGCAGGTGATAACTTCAGTGGTTTTTTCAGGTTTAGTCCTGTGGTATTTTTATGATACTTCTCTTCACATCTCTACTTTCCTAGAAATTCTATAAACTCCCTAAAACCCAGTAATAAGTCCCTTTCTGCTTTAAATTAGTTAGATTCTGTTTGTTTTTTTGCCATAAGAATCTTATAGAGCAGAAAAGTTAAATGAATATATATATATATAATTCTTTAAAAATATAATTTTATGGATTTCAGAGAGGAAGGGAGAGAGACAGAAACATCAACGATGAGAATCATTGATCGGCTGCCTCCTGCACACCCCCTACTGGGGATCGAGCCTGCAACCTGGGCACATGCCCTTGACCGGAATCGAACCCAGGACCCTTCCATCTGCAGGCTGATGCTCTAACCACTGAGCTACTGGCTATGGCTATATATATAGTTTAAAAGCTCCAGTATGAAAGCTCTAGTATGTTTATTACAGGTGAGCGAATGGATTTTAGACAGATCTGTACACGTATTTGTGAAGTAGTCCTGGAAGAATTTGTTAGTCAAGACATTTTTGTTTGTTTTTAGCAGAGAAATTAGGACTGTTCATGACCTGTTCCTGGATTTAAAATGACCTTTCTTGTGTGAAGAGAGATACTGTTTCTTAGAAAATTTTACATTTTCACTAAATTGTGTTTTATTCACTGCTCTTTCCCCAAATCCATATGCCCCCTGAAGAGAATCTTCAGCCTCACTTTAGCAGTGTCCTTTTGGCCACAGACCCTTTTGGGAACCTGGTAAAAGCTTATGGACATCCCACCTCCAAATACACATACAAATATATTCCCATAATCTACATATAGTGTCAGGACATTGAAATTAAAGACACCTTTGTCCACTCCTTACTCCCTTGAAGCTAATTCACTATTCTAAGGTCAAAAACTCCGATTCTGAAATGAAAGAAGTCTGTTCCAAAAAACAGCATGTGACACCTCCTAGGATGGAGGGACAATTTGGTTCAAAACCAGAAAACTTTTAGAGACTTAATTTGCTATATTTCTCACAACCACAAGTTTTTAAAAATTATTTTTTTCCAGTATCAGATAATTATAAACAACCTATTCCTCTTCTCCCCCCAACACTCACCGTGTTTTGGGCTGAGAATGGGAAATGGATCTCCCAGTTTCCAGAAGAAATACATAAAAGTCAGCCATAAGAGACAGGAAAAAAGCAGTCGCTGTTTGTGCACTGAGAAAGAGGAGACAAGACTAGGGTTAAATAGACACAAGCTAAAGAGCTTGCTCTACTTAAAAGCTATGGGGTAACACTAATTAATATTTGGCTGGTTTGTTCACTGGGCAAATGAGCGATGGAACAATGTTATTTTTAGAGAAAGCATGCTTATCACTTTAAGAGAAATCTGGCTGAAATTAAGCTGTGGGTTGAGTTATGGGAGATGATCTGACAGAACCAGAACCAGAACCGTGGCAGGACAAATAACCTAACCGTTCATTCAGTATTTATTTTGTGCCAACCCTTTAAGATGCTGTGTGTGAGGTGGCCCCAAACAACCGCTCCTGAGGCCCAAACACTCACACAGGCGGATGTTGCTCACAATAAAATAGCCGATGTAGAAAGGCACCAGGAAGACCAGGATCAGCAGAATGACGCACAGGTTCAGTTTCCAGTGGAAGTAACGGGAGCTGCAAGACACGGCAAAGCCTGTCACTAGGAGGGAGGGGCAGCAGCTGTCATTCTCGTTAGTCTTCCAAGGATCTCTTGCTCTTTGAACTCAATACTGAATATACCCATTTAACTAGTCAACTAGCCTGCTATTACCTGCTCATTTATAGAGAGAAGAAAAAAAAGTTCCAGAAGGCATATATAATCATCTTAACCTCTTACCATTTCACTTATTAAAATGAGAATGTTAGTGTTCTAGTTATATTCATAGACAACGTATAATAATATATATGAACATATATTATTACTGGCACAATGATTATTGTCTCACTCACCACTGGGAGTCTTATTCTAATATAAAAATTAAAAAAATGTTAATAGTAATTTGTGCTATAAAGACTCAGAAATACTTCTTCTGTACCTTGTGGGTATAGAACTAAACATCTGATTTATATGACTTTATTATTGCACCTAAATATGTTATTAAAATATTTTAGAATTTTTATAATCATTTTATTGAGATATAATTCACCATTTAAAGTGTACAATTCAGCCCTAACCGGTTTGGCTCAGTGGATAGAATGTCAACCTACGAACTCAAGGGTCCCAGGTTCGATTCCGGTCAAGGGCAATTACCTTGGTTGTGGGCACATCCCCAGTAGGGAGTGTGCAGGAGGTAGCTGATCGATGTTTCTCTCTCATCGATGTTTCTAACTGTCTATCCCTCTCCCTTCCTCTCTGTAAAATATCAATAAAATATATTTTTTTAAAAAAGTGTACAATTTGCCCAGCCGATGTGGCTCAGTGGTTAAGCATCGATCATAAACCAAAAAGTCACAGTTCGATTCCTAGTCAGGGCACATGCCTGTATTGCGAGCTTGATCCCCAGTGTGGTATGTGCAGGAGGCAGCCGATCAATGATTCTATCTCATCACTGATGTTTCTATTTCTCTCTCCTTCTCCCTTCCTCTCTGAAATCAATAAAAATATATTTAAAAATAAATTTAAGAAAAAAAATAAAGTGTACAATTCAATGGGTTTTAGTATCTTCAGAGAGTTGTGTGACCATCACTATTAATTTCAAGCATTTTCAACTCTGCACAAGGAAATCCTATACCCATTAGCAGTCACTCCCTCTTACCACCTTTCCAGCCCCAGGAAACTTTCTGTCCATACCGATTTGCTATTCTGAACATTTATTAGAAATGGAATCATGTAATATGAGGTCTTTAGTGACTGGTTTCCTTCACTTAGCATAATTTTTGTTTGTTTGTTTGTTTTGTTGATCCTCACCCGAGGATATTCTTTCCATTGGTTTTTTTTCAGAGAGTGGAAGGGAGGGAGGGGGAGAGAGAAACACTGATGAGACACGTCAGTTGTTTGCCTTCCACTTGCATTCCAACTGAGGCTGGGGATTGAACCTGCAACCCAGGGATGTGCCCTTGACAGGAATTGAACCCGAGACCCTTCGGTGCATAGGCCAAAACTCTAACCACTGAGAATACCAGCCAGGGCCACTTCGCATAATTTTTCAAGGTTTATCCATACTGTAGCACCTATCAATACTTCATTTCTTTTTATAGCTGTATTATTTTCATTCCATTGTACAGATAAACCACATTTTGTTTATCCATTCATTAGTTGGTGGACATTTGGGTTGTTCTTCTTTTTAGCTATTTAACGTGATGCTATGGACATTTGTGTATAAGTTTTTGTGTGAACATATGTTTTTATTTTTATTAAATACCTAGGAGTGGAACTTCTGGGTCATATGATAACTCTGTATTTAATTTTTTAAGGACTACCACTGTTTTCCAAAGTGGCTGCACCATTTTAATTCTCCCTGCAGTGTATGAGGGTTCCAATTTCTCCGTAGCTTTGTCTACACTTGTTACTATCTTTTTTGTGTGTGTTAATCCTCATCCGAGGATACTTTTTCCATTGATTTTTTTAGAGAGGGAGGGAAGAGACAGAGAGAGAAACAAAGATTGGTTGCCTCCCATATGCACCCCTGACTAGCACCAGGGATTGAGCATGCGACATTGGTGTGAGAGTGAAACATTGATGGCTGCCTCCGTACTCAACACATGCCTGGGTTGCGAGCTCAATCCACAGTGGCGGGTGTGCAGGAGGCAGCCGATCCATGATTCTCTCTCATTGTTGATGTTTCTATCTCTCTCCCCCTCTCCCTTCCTCTCTGTAAAAAATCAATAAAATATATTAAAAACAAAACAAAACGAAGAAAAATGACCTGTAATCACACCACCCATCTTTTAGAGTTTTTTTTACACGTTTTTTGATGTTCTCCTATGCCCCTCCACTGGTAGTGGTGGTGGTCGTCATTCACAAACATAGACCACATTCTGGGCATAAAACACACTTTAAAATAGAATCTAAACAGACTATTCTCCAAAGAGGACATACAGATGACCAAGAGTCATATGAAAAAATGCTCAAAGTCACTAATCATCAGAGAGATACAAAGTAAAATGACAAGGAGGTACCACCTCGCACCTGTCACAATGGCTACTGTCAACAAATCAACAAATGACCAATGCTGGCAAGGAAGTGGAGAAAAAGGAACCCTAGTGCACTGCTGATGGGAATGCAGACTGTGCAGTGTGGAAAACAAGTATGGAGTTTCCTCAAAAAATTATAGTGCAGTGAAGGTCTGGGGGAGAGGATGGGAGCAGGGTACAGGGGATCAAAGGGGTGGGGGGAAGGAAGACATCTGTAATACTTGCAACAATGAAGATACATTAAAAAAAATTAAAAATGGAACTCCTTTTTGACCCAGTGATCCCACTTCTGGGAATACATCTGAAGAAACACAAAACACTAATTTGAAAGAAGATATGCACACCTATGTCCATTGCAGCACTATTTATAATAGCCAAGATTTGGAAGCAGCCAAAGTGCCCATCAGTAGATGAGTGGATAAAAAACTGTGGTACGTTTACACAGTGGGATAGTACTCAGCCATAAAAAGGAACTCTTACTCTTTGCGACAGCATGGGTGGACCTGGAGAGCACTATGCTAAGTGAGTTACGTCAGCAGAGAAAGATGGATATATGATTTCACTTATTTGTGGAAACTAATGACCAAAATAAACAAACAGAAACAGAATCATAGATACAGAGAACAACTGACAGCTGTTGGAGGGGAGAGGGGTTGGGGGGCTGGGTGAAATAGATAAAGGGATTAAGCAATAACCCTCCCACACACATACACCACCCTCATAGATACAGACAACGGTATGATGATTACCAGAGAAAAGGGGGGTGGGGGCAGGTAGAAGAGGGCAAAGGGGGACAAACAGTGACAGAAGTAGACTTCGGGTGGTGAACACAATATAATTTACAGACGATGTATTATAGAATTGTACACTTGAAGCCTATATAATTTTATTACCTAACATAACTTCAGTAAAATATATTAAAAATAAACTAGAAATTAAAAAGAGAAAGCAAGTAGGTGTACTTCTGAACCATGGGTCACTATTACCATCCTCCTCCTGCGGAGGGAGAGTTTAAGGATAAGAAAGTGAAGTGACAGGGTCAGAGCGGCACTTAGAATTCCTGACACGGACAATCAAAACGGCAGATTTATGTGCAAAGGTCAGAGCTAAAAGGGTTACTCCAATGCTCTGCAGACCCTGGGCCAGTTCTGGACCCTCCCCTGGGAGGCCTTAAAGTCTTGAGCAGAACAGAAACTCTAGAAACTCTAGAATCCCAGGCTCTTTCAGACAACAGCCCCATCTCACGAGGGAAGTTTAACGGAGAACAACCTAGGAGTGACCTCAAAGTAGTCTGTACCCATGGAGCTTTCACTAAACGGGGAGGATCGATTAGGAAAAGTCCAGTCAAGGTTGGTATTTTTCTGGATTCAATGATTTTGGTATTAATTTAGGAGGTAAGATTGGTCATTAATACTGAAGGTGAGACACCCAAATGAACAGGAACATTTATGAGACATAAGCTAAATTCTCTCCCAAAGAATAACTGTTTGCTTTGGGTGTGCACACTGATGTCACCGAGGCGTGGCATTTCTTGTTCCTGGCTTCTTGGCGATATACATGACTTGCTTAAAAAACAACAACAACAAAAAAGCCAACTAAGCCTAATCATATTCTCCAAGTTAAGAATTACATAGGGCTCATTGACAAAAACTTCTATCTTGGAAGTGAACATGACTTTTTATTTTAAACCTTTCTCTGTCTGGTTTATTTAACATGACCTTTTTTTTAATGGAGGTATTCTTTCTGCCCCATTTTAAAAACAATTTAAATTCATACAATATTAGCATCATCAAAATGATCTCTTCTCACCTCGTAGTCCTTAAACAGTTGGCGCATGAAGAAGAGCCACCCAAATCCAAAGAAAAGTATCTGAAGGAAAAAGAAGATAGAAAGTCAGTATACATATCTTTTGATAAATGCCTTATATACAGTATTTTATGACAAAAGGTCTGCTAAAAGTTTATTTCAGATACTAAAGATGAGATCTACTCATAAAAGATCTATTTACTGAAATCCTCAACATTAGGAGTGGATATTAAAATACTCTTCAATCTTTGAAATTATCCATGCTTTAGAATGTGTTTTAAGTTAGACAAAAATTAAAGTATATGTTTTTCCTGTAATCTTTTTTTAAGTTTCCTTTAAAAAATATATTTTATTGATTTCAGAGAAG